CCCTTCCTGGGCCCACAGGTCACAGGCTTCCCGTGAAGTGGGGTGAGGCTCGCATCCACAGTGCCCCTCCCAAGCCCCAGTCTCAAGCCTGCTCCTGGTCAGGACACCAGCACTGGTTCTTGGGATCTTTTTATTAGATCGGGAGGGGTTGGGGGCCCAGCCTAGGCGGGCTGCTCCGCCTCCATCAGGAAGTGCTCCAGGAAGTGCTCCAGGTCATCATAGAGGCTGTTGTTGGAGCTGGACAAGCAGAGGCTGAGGCTGCCGCTGTCCAGAGAGGACGCGCCTTCGCGCTGCACGCCCTCCAGGTATGCCCGGCATAGCCATGGCTCCAGCTGTGGGAAGGGCGTGGTCAGGCAGGGGGAGGGCTGTGTGCAGCCTCCCCCCCCGCCCACCCCAGGGACCCTCCACCTCACCTTCACCAGGACCAGGCTCTTCTCCTTGGGCCTCCCCACTGACAGGTCCTGCCCAAAGCCCAGATAGATGGTGTAGTGAGGGGAGCCCCGGCGCCGGCAGGCCTCAAACTCCCCCAGTTCTGTAGGACAGAGCTTTGGTGAGGGGGGTTGGGGGGAGGCGGGGAGGCCCTCAGCCCCAGGGCAGGTGCATCACTGACCTTGGAAGAAGGTGCCGAAGTCAAAGATGGGGGTGTCGCAGTTCCGGGGCAGCAGGCGGGCGGGGGTGGAGGAGCTGGCCGAGCCCAGGGGCCCTCCCACCTCCCAATAGACCTTACACTTGCCCAGGCGTCGGGCCCACAGCCTGAGACCCCGGAGTTCCAGCTGCAGGCCGGGGGCCACGTGCTGCAGCAGCTTCTCTGTGTAGTGGAGCTGCTTCTGGTCGGGCAGCTCGGCGGGGCTAGGAAAGGCTACTTGCTGGGGCTCTGAAGCCCCACCACCTACACCGGGGGGGCCATACAGGAGCACGCAGCTCGGGCGCCCCACCACTTCCTGCAGCACTGTTCGGCCCTTGTATGTGATGGTCAAGTCCAGGGCCCCCAAGCTGTGCAGTGTGTGCAGACCGAGCTGTGAGCAGGTGGGACCAGCCACGTGCAGATGCCCTGCCATCAGGGTGCAGGCACTGGGGGAGGCTGTGGTGCGGGGCTCCGCCTCTTGGGGCTGCCAGGGGTCTGGGGGTGGGCCTGTGTCTGGAGAGGAAGGCAGGCCTGAGCTGGCACCCGAGCCGCCAGCTCCTCCCATTTCCTTCCACATGTCCCCTAGCTCCTGTTACCTGGGCCTGGGGCTGTGGCGCCACATTCACTGTGGCGGGCACAACTCCCAAGCAGGGAGCTCTGGACCTGAGGAGGCTCACCTGTGCCCAGCAGGGATGGTGGCCCACCTCTGGCCAGCACCGTCCCTGCTGGGCACCCCCCTCCCCCGGGCCCTCTCTCCCTGGGGACTCTGCTGTCCTGCCTGTCCCTCCCCTTGGCACACAGAATCCTGCAGGGCAGAGCATCCCCCTCCAACAGCCCCTCACCAGGAGCCCCAGGGGCTATCGGCTCCACCCCACACGCAGCTTTCAGCACATGGTCCTCCAGGCAGCTCTGCTGCAGAGCCTGGAGCAATAGGTCCCCAGCATCTCCAGCTGGGCTTGGGGCACAGGGCTCAGGGCTCAGCCGGGCCAGCCCACGCCCCAGCCTCTCGCCAGCATCTGCTGCCAGGTATGGCCCCAGAAGCCCATCCTGCAGGAGAGGACAGACAGTCCCAGCATAACTCAGCAGCTCCCCAGCCCAGTGGGAGGGGGCAGCCCCAAGGTGGGATCCAAGAGGGCAGAGTGACCTTACCCTTGTAGGTGGGGCATCTCCAAGGGCCTCGTCCTCCCCCCGGCTAATGCCTGGGCTTTCTGAGGGAGAATTAGGGTTGGGGGAACACGGGACTTGGAACTCTGGAGTGGGACACCTAGGTGTGAATCCCTGGGCAGCTCCTCAAAGCTCAACCGCACTTCCCCTTCACTGGTCCCAACAGGCCCATGAGCTTCCTCCCAGCAATCCCCAGTCCCCCCTGGCCGCGCCACACGCCCCCGCCCCCGCCCCGCCATCCCCCAGCAATCTGGCACCAGCCTCTCCCATGCCAGTTTTCTAAAACCGAAAATCCGACCCAGCGGCTGCTCCCGGGACAGAGCCAAGTCTCCCTGCAGGCAGCCCTGCCGTGGCCTCCTCACCTCCGCACGCCGGCTCGCGGGTGACCATGTACACCTTATGAGGGTCGGTAGGGTCCCCCGAGTTGTCTTGCAACATCACGAAGCGCCGCGTACAGTGCAGCGCGCAGCGGAAGTTGGTTTTCCAGGAAGCTCGGAGCGCACTCTCGGCGGTCGGCCGGGCACCTGCGCTGCTGCGGAGAGGCCACCTGCCGCGGGCCACAGCCCAGGCCTGGGGAGAGAGACTGAGTGGATTACGCGGCCCGGACACTCGGGCCTGGGCCTGGACCTGGACCGGCCCTCCCCCCAGGCGGGGCTGCGGTCCCACCTTGAAGATGCGCGAGTCCGCCTCTCCCAGGTCCTTCCGCGCAAAGTGCTTCCAGGGCACGCGGAAGCGCGTTCGGGCCGCGTCCAGCCACCGTAGTCCCTCGTAGCGGCCGCTGCTGACCTCGCCCAGAAGCCAGTCTCCGAAGAGCACGCGCGGGATACCCCTGCGGGCGGAGCAGCCGGGCGTCAGGGCGCGCGCGGGCCAGCGGGGGCGGGGGTGGGGTCGGCAGCGGGCAGCGCGGCGGGCTCACCCGTCGGGAGCCACGGCCATTGCTCCCTCCGCAAGGGCTGGGCGTAGAGAGAGCGGCGCGCCCTCCGCGGCGAGGGCTGGGGTCGCGGGGGCAGTCGGGGGACGGCGCAGGTGAGAGGAGGGTTCCGCGTGAGTCTCCGCAGGTAGTCCCGGGTGTTGGGGTCCCAAGTGTTGGGGTCACAGATGGAAGTTGAGGACTTCTGGCCACGGTGTTGCCCAGGTGAGTCCTGGCCAAGGAGGCGATGGGTGTGGCTACAGATGCGGCGGGCCGTCGGGCACACGAGAGGCCACAGGTGTCGAGCCGGCGTCCGGGCTGGGCCCTGCGGGGGCGCGACGGGAACAGCCGTAGGAAAACGAAACCGCGCGCTGCGGGAAAACGAAAGCTAACCCACCCCACCCCGCGCGTCACCGCGACCTCCGCCTCCAGGTCCCCAGTTCCGGCCCCATGCCCCCCGCCGTCACCCGCTCTGCCCGCCCCCTCCTGGTCACTGCTCCGCGGAGCGAACCTGGGGTCCGACACGGCCGTCGCTGCCTTTCTCGCTCCGCGTGGGTTGGGAGTCCCGAGTACCTGGTACTGGCACCGCCGGCGCGGGAAATTTCGGCTCCGCTGGGGCTCCGGAGCAAGCGCTTTTATGGTGGCGGGGGCCGGAGGCGGGGCCGGGGCCGGGGAAGTCACGTGCTTCCGCGGGCGGGGCCGGGGGCGGCACTGGGGTCCTGGCTGCCGCAGGGCACAGCCCCTTCGGGGTCCAGCCGCTCCCCTTCCTCACCCAGCGCTGCGGGGGTCTGGGGCGCCAGCCAACGTGGTGGGATAAGCTGGGGACCCCCCGGGATCAGAAACAAAACCAGTCACAGGTCCCTGAGCGGACAGCGGGTGAGGGGGGTGCGTGGGAGGAGGTGCAGCTGTGCTCTTTGGATTCTTACCAGTGACAGTTGTCCAGGCAAGAATATACTCAAATACTGTCGAGATTAAAATATTCGGAAAGGAATCGGAAATGCCTTTTCGTGAGGAAAAACCGCCAGTGATGCATAAGGGACAGTGGCGGTGGTCGGGGCTGAAGTCCTGACTGAGGATCGACCCTGAGGAAGCCAGTGGAGGGGGCTCGGTCCCCAACTCCGTGGCTGTGGGTCGCGTCCACAGCCTCTGTCCTGTGTACCCACTGGCCCCACCTGCTGCCCAGGGCCCAGGGCCTGCAGGCCACTGTCGCACTGGGCCAAACCACCCCCCTCCACCCCGCACCGCCCGTCACAGCCCAGCCACCTGGACCACGTGCCTCCGAGGGTGCCCCAGCGTGTTTAGTGCCTTCACTGTAGCCCACAGACGCAGGAGTGTGACCCCCTGGAAGGTCCCCGGGCCCATGCTCTCCCAAATGAGTGTCCTTGAGGGTGGCTCCTGGCCACGTGGCTCCTCTGCCTCCCCCAGGGGAAGAATCTCTGTGTTGGGTCGGCCGTGGTTAGACAAGGAGAGGAACTTCCTGGCCACCAGCTGGCACCGAGCCTGGGAAGCCCCGCGGGCGCAGCAGGTGGTTTACGGGAAACAGCACCCAGCGCTCTAGGCAGGGGACGACCCCGCCCACCCCTCTCCGCCCCCACGGCGCCCCTGGCGGTCCCTCTGGGGAGGACTCAGTGCAGGGCAGGAGCGAATGGACCACGTCCTGACAACCCCCACTGGCAGCCCCTTGGGGCAGACCCCACGCGTCCCAGCAGATCCGAAAATGTCACTTTATTCTGCGCAGTGGAGTGGGGGGAGAGCCACCAAGCCGACTCCGGTGATCCAGACTCGCCGGGACAGGAGGGGCGGCCACACTAGAGGTAGATGGAGCCAGGCGCGTCCTGGGCACCCCCGCGCAGGCCCGCCTCTGCGCCCTCGTCGCCGCTGCCCTCGCTGCCCTCGTCGCCAGCACCGTCCACTTCCGAGGCAGGCGTGTTGAGGACCACCACATCGGCCTCGGCCCCGATGTCCTCGCCGAACCACACCGCCTTGTAGCCACCCTCAGGCCTCCGCTCCTTGGTCAGGATGGACCTCACGGCTGCCGGGCCGTCCCCATCCAGGGCCACCGCAGGAGACTCGGCGACTCGGCGGAGGGTCTCCGTGCTGGAGGGCTTGGGTTCTGGGGGTGCAGGCTCTGGGGGAGCCGGCGGGATGGGACTGGGTGAGGGGCTAGGAGCTGGCGCCCAGCTGGCCTCGTCGGGGTTGTTGAGGAAGGCTGGGTTGTCAGAGCCTTGGGGCTGGGGCTCCTGGGGGGCAGGCGGAAACCAGCAGTCAACCAGACCAGGCCTGGGCTCAGACCACCACTGTTCCCCCAGAGACAGGCAGCTAGATGCTCTGCCTCTCTCTGCCCTCCCCCCCATCTGTGGGCTATGGTGTGTACGCCCCTTCCCTCCTCACCTCTGCCCTGCATCTCCCGCATGGACTCCTGGCCTCCACGCTGCCTCTCCATCCTGCCGCTTTTCCACCGCCCCCGGGTCCTCTCTCCTGTCCTTTCCCCCACCCCGAGGGTCTCACCAGCGCTTTGCCACAGCAGCACTTGAGTCGGTGGCCGTAGTGCTTGTGGACGAGGACTATGAGGGCGATGAGAGCCAGAAGGAACAGCGCGCTAAACGTCCCGCCCAGCGCCGCCATCTCCACCACCGAGAAGCGCCGGTCCTCGTCGCGGCCTGTGACTGGCCTGCCATTCACTGCCGTGCTGCTTTCTCCGGTCCCGGGCGTCCCTGCTGGCAACACCGCTGCCCACTTGCTGTCCCACCGCAAGCACTCCCGGGCCAGCCTGAGGCAAGCTCGGGACACCCAAAGAGCAGGCTAGGCCTGGCCACCGGAGATGACGTTTGGAGGAGTGGGTGCCACTGGCCCCCGCCAGGGAGCCCCGATAGGCCGGGCTGCTGGGAGCGGGGAGGGGGTCGGTGCTCACCAGTTCCAGGTGGGAGGTAGGGGGCCAACGTGCCAGGCAGGGAGCTGAGGGTAGCACGGGGCCCGTGGGCTGAATGGCCCTGGGAATTGGGGGGGTCGCTGGATCCTAAGTCTGGCCTCTGCCCCACCCTCCACACATCTTCCCTAGTTTACCTCCTGGGGCCCACCAGGACCTGTCTCTTTGCCAGACCCCGCCTTGGGGTTTCGTGGTCCCCATGGTCGTGCTGGGCCGACCTGGGGTGGACCCTACCCCACAGTGGCCGCCCAGAGTCCTGAGTCAGAGAGCATGAGGGTAACTAGGGTAAAGGTGGTGTGCTACCTGAGGGCCGGAGGGTCCTGCTGGGCCCAGGAGACGTTGGCAGAGAGGTTCCTGGCTTCGAGGTCTGTGCTGAGGCCCCACTGGGTGAGGCTGATGGGGGGGAGGGGCTAGTTCCTGCACTGGGGGGCCCCCCAGGCGTCGAGGAGGCCGGAGGCCTCAGAGCTGTGCCTGAGGAGGGGTGTGGGCTGCTGTTCCCCACAGAGCTGGTAGTGGAGAACCCCTGAGAGGGCTCAGGGGGACGAGGGGCTTCCGACGTGGTGCCGCTGGAGGCTCTGGTTGTTCCTGCTGTCTCTGGGGACGTCGGGGGGCCTGGGGCCAGGGCCAGGGCTCAGGCTCGCCACTGCCCGTAGCAAGAAGCCCTCCCCGAGCCGACCTGGGGTCCCTGGGAGGCTCACCTGTGGGGGTGGGTTCCTGTTTTGAGACTTGAACCTCCACGACCGTGGTCGCTGTGCCTGAGGTCACCATGTTCCTGGCCTCAACCTGGGCAGGAAGGGGGCTTGTCCCTCCTGGGCTCCAGCTTGACCCCTGGCCCTCGGAGGTACTGCCTGCCTCTCACCTCTGCATAGAAGACCCCGGCGTGCACCAGTGAAGCACCAGTCAGCATGACCTCCCCGTCCATTCTGAAGTTAGAGTTGTTGGTGATCCGATACGTGATGGCCGAGTTGAGGTCCTGGACGTGGCCCCAGTGAGTCCTGAGCCCAGGCTGCTCCCCAGACCGCTCCAACCCCCCCATGGCAGGAGGCCGGGCAGACCCAGGGACCAGGCGGCGCCTACTGGGAACTCAGAATCCTGGGCCCGGATCCTCAGAGGCTGGGAGGGGGCAGCTGCATCCTTGATGGCCACGCCCACCCCAGAGCCGAGCGCCACGGTGCCGCGGTACAGGCTCTGGGGGAAGCGGGGCGGGCTCCCGCTGGCAGCCCGGGCCTCCACTGTGACCTGGGTCACCGAGTACCTGGCGCGATCCGCCTGCTCACCCTGGGGGTTGGAGAGGCCGCAGTGACCAGCAGGTCCTTGAAGGGTGAGCCCTGTAGCCAGAGGCCCAGGAAGGGCCGTGCGGGCACCCACCTTGACCAGCAGAAGGAAGGTCTTGGGGCTGGGGATGCTCTTGGTCATGGTGAGGTTGCCTGTGCCGGCATCAATGGAGAACGAGCCGTTCTCGTTTCCTGGGAGGACGGCGGGAGGGTTTGGCCGCAGTCCCTTCTGGAGGCCTGAGGTCCCAGTGTCGCAGCTCGCTCTGCCCATGTGGGGACGGGGTCAGGGTGTTGCATGGAGAGAGAAGTTGGAGGCTGGTGCCCACTCACCCCTGATGATGCTGTACACGATGGGCTGATTGATGCCCCAGTCCCCGTCCACGGCGTAGATGGGCCCAGGATGCAGGACGAGGGGTCCTGACTGCGGGAACAGGGAGGGGAGGGTACGCCGTGGAGCTGGTGCCGTGGCCTCCACTCAGCCCCTCCCGCTCCCCTCCAGGAGATCTGGAGTAGCCCCAGGGGGCAGTCAGGGACCCAGCTCGGTCCCTGGGGTCCCTCACTGGGTCCCAGGGGCCTGGCTGGCTCTGCCCTGAGGACAGCTGGACCCTGTTTCCTCATTTGAATTTCAGAGGCCCTGTGTCCCACTTGCCACCATGGGGTGGGGCAAGATTGGTTTACGAAAAATCGTTCACATTTGCTTGAAAATCACAACCCACTCTGACCCCGTGGCAGCCAGGCCCGTGCTCATGCTGCCCTGGTCCTCCACGGCCCCCGTACCAGTGTGTGGCCTGTGGGCACAGCCCCATGGTACTGGGCTTCGATGCAGACAAAACCGTCAGAGTACATGCAGGGCAGGAACCAGGGGGGCCGCAGGTCGGAGGGCCGCACCTCCAGGACCAAGGTGGCCGTGGCCGTGTGGCTGGGCTCCACGTTCTCCTCTTGCGTGTCCTGCAGCACCGCAGCCCTGCCGTCAGGCCCGGGGGCCTGTGGCTGGAGCGGCTCGGGTGGGGCCATGGGCGTCCGGGACGAGGGCGGGAGTGGCCTGCTCACCCGGACCAGCAGCTGGAAAGTCATGTTCCGCCACCTGTCGAAGTCCAGTGACCGGTCCAGCCGCAGCTCTGGGCGGTTCGCACCCACCAAAGAGAAGAAGCCGCTGGCACCCTGGGGAGGTGGGGGACTCAGCCTGGGACCCCGGGAGGACGCACAGAGGTGGGGAAACCCAAAGGGAAGGGCTGGGGGCACTGACCGGGGTCACTTCCTGGAGGGTGTAGAACAGGATGTCATTTTTGTCGAGGTCCTGGGCTTTCAGCTCTGTCTCGGGGATGACGACGGCATCCACTTTAGTGTCCTGGGGTACGGAGGGGGCTCGGTCTGGCCACGCCCGAGACCCCCAGGGTGAGACCCCCAGGGTGAGAACCTCAGGGTGAGACCCCCCAGGTGAGACCCCCAGGGTGAGACCCCCACAGCCACTAGCCCTCTGCCCTCTGGCCCCCATCCCGGGCACCAGATGCCCCAGATGGCGTGAACTGCTGCTCCCTTCCACTCACCTCTGGCACCCTTTGGACCTTGACTACAAAGGGGAACCTGGGTGGGTTGTCGTTGACATCCAGCACTGACACAAACACCCTCAGCTGGGTCACCTGAGGGAGGGAGGAGGGTCCCCGGCCCAACCGCGTGAGCTCATTCTAGGAGCTGGGGTACAGTTCCCAAGACAGCTCTCTGTCTGGGGCTCCCACTCCAGCAGGCGTTACAGACAAGGAACAGAAAGTAATTTTTTAAAAGCACAGAAGGTGCGAATGCCCTGGAGAAAAATAACACAGGCACTGGGGGCGCAACCAGCAAAACCCCAAATGAGGAAAACGGCAAAACAATCGAATTTCTTCAACAATAAGTCTCAAGGAAAATCAGGACACCGTGTGTTGAAAGAGACGCACGAGAGAGACACCAACCAGCTGCACTGGGTGGAGCTTGCTGGCAGGAAACTGTGGAAGGCTGCTCTGGAGCTGGGGGGTATGGACGTCGGATGCTGCGCTGCTGAGGAGCCCCTGCCTTTTCCGGACGTGACAACACTACCGCGTTAAGAAGCGGCCTTGTCCGCTAGAGCCTCATCTTCAGAGATTGGTGGGTGGTGTGCTGTGACGTCGGGTGGGGGGCACCCACGGGGCTCAGGGAGACCACAGAGCTGGCTGGTGCGAGGGTCTGGGGAGGCTGGTGCCTCTCCGAGGAGGTGACAGGGAGCAGCCGGGGCGGGGGTCTGGGGGCGCGGCGTGCCACTGGGCCTTTATTCGCTTTATTTGGGAGGGCAGGGACCGCTGCTTGCTTTACCGGATAGAATCGTTCTCCTGCCATTCGGAGAGTGGACTTGGGTGGGTGGGGCCAAGAGGGGAACAGATGGACCAGCGGAAGATGCTGGTGTCTGGCCCACTCAGCCAGCAGATTTGCTGGAGGACCGGCGTGGGGAGGGGGAAGTGAGGACTGAGCTGGCAGGGCGAGGCGCCTTTGGGGGGGCCTTGGATCTCGGGGTGGGGGTGTCTGTGGGGTGTGATGTCCGTCCGGGATGGGTTTGTGAGTCTGCGGCTCGAGGCACAGTCTGGGCTGGGGCAAGTGTGGGCGTTGCCGGCACAGAGGTGACACTTGAAACACACCACTGGGTGAGGTCGCCAGGGAGTGACCGTGGGCCAGGCAGAGCAGGGCACAGAGGTCCAAGCCGGAGCCCTCTGACATCACAGGGAGGGTGGGGACGTGGGGATGCCGGAGGGGGTCTGGGGGGCAGACTCACCACAGTGTCATCCCTCTTGCACTCCAGGACTGCTTCCAGCATTGAGTTCTCCTGCGGGGGTGGGCAGGTGTGGGAATCACCTGGGCAGCTGGCCCAGCCCCAGCCCCATTCCACAGGTGAGGAAACGGAGGGCGAGAGCAGCAGGTGCTGGCACAGGTCCCTGTCATCCATGCTGAGTCCAGAGGGCAGCGGGGCCCAGGCAGCTTCGTTCCCCCAAGGGCCCCACCCCCTCAGGGCCAGCCCTCAGCCAAGCCTGGGGGCCCGAGAGGCCCCCTGGGCAAACTGAGACCCAAAGATCCCCAGAGAGCCCTTCTCTGGGGAGGAGTGTGGGTGGCCGCCTGGGTCCCATGGAGGGTCGGCCACCCCCGCTGACCCCATGGGCACAGCCAGCCCTGGGCCCGCCATCCACACCTCGTAGTCCGGGGTCACATTGAGAAACAGCTGAGTCCCCTGGATCCGAAATGCGAAACGGGTGGCCGAGGGTCCGAGGGTCACCTGCTGGCCCTCAGGGACGGTGATGTTGAGGAGCAGTTGCCCGGGACTCGTGTTCTCACTGACTTCGAAGGAGCTCTTTTCCACAGAGCAGACTGGAAGTTGGAGAGGGAGGGTCGGTGCCTGCCAGCCCCCTGCCTGCCGCCCCGGCTCTCTGCCACTGCCCCCAGTACCCTGGGCCTGGGCCATGGCTGCGAGCAGGGGAAGCAGAAGGGCCCAAGTCACCATCTCGGCAGGCGGGCGGCCCCGTCTGGCGTCTGGGACCCTCTGAGCGGCTGTGCTGCTGGCGCGGTCTCTGCCTGGGCGAACTTTGCCCCTGCCAGGCACCACCCCACTTTATGATCCTTTACAACGACTGCCCCGACCAACCACAGGACTGGCCTCCACCAAGGGGGCTCCCGCCGGCCGCCGGCCAGGCCTCGCCGGCTGCCAGGAGGGGCAGACCAGGTGGTTACCCGGCCGGAACCGGGCCACATGCAGGGGCTGACAGGGGCTCAACCCACAGACCCCAAGACAGAGGAACCCAGAGCTGGTGGGCGGGCACCGGGGGCCTGGGCGGGCTGGGGCTGGGGTGGGCCTCTGTGTTTGCTGTACTTGCCCCCCAACCCGGGATGCCCCGCTGCTGGGCCCCTCTGCCAGAACCCTCGTGGGCACAGCTCCTAAGGCGGTCCAGGAGGTTCAGGCTCAGGCTGCAGGTGTGCCCCTCCGGGCCCACCTCCTGTCCCCGAGTTTAACCCTCTAAGTCTGGAAGGGAAAGGCTATATGTGTCCTAGGGACTCCCCTGCCTGTCCCAGAAACAAGCCAGCTTCGTCCAGGGGGCTGGGCGGGGTCACAGTGACAAGGATGGCTGTGCTTCGGGGCAGCTGGCAGCTGGGGGGGGGGTGGACCCTGGGCCCCGACAGAGGGGCATCCTGGTGAGGGGCCCATGGCAGAGGCCCCCAACTGCCCCACCTCCATCTTTCCTCAGCCCCCTAAGCCCAGCAGCTGGGAGAGGACACTGGGTGGGGAAGGGGCTGCTGTGACGGGTCGGGTGGAGCCCTTCACACCTCCAGGCCCCAGGCCATGCGCCTGAAACACCTTCACAGAGCCTGTGCCCGTGATCCTACAAGGCCTCCTGCAGCCTGGCACTTGGGGTGTCATCACCGGCCCTGCTCCACAGGCCCCGGGAGGTCAAGCCACCCATCCAGACTGCATGCCTGGACCGGGAGCCAGGACTCATGCTCAGGTCCTTTCACTGGGGAGTGGCCTCCTGGGTCCTGCCTGTCGCCTCTTCCTGCTTGGACAAACCTCCTTGCCCCCTCACCGCTGCCTCCCAGGGCAGGATCTGGGGGACCTCTGAGCCCCCCCAGAGCCCCTGAATGTTTGCTGTGTGGATGCCAGAGGTGCCGGGCGGCTTCCGGGGAGCTCAGTGGATGGGGCAGGAGATATGGAAGCAGAAAGATGAGGCTCCCCGCCGGCTTCCCAGGTTTAAAGGGTAGCTGGGCATAGCCACGGTCCTAGAATCCCGAGGATGGGTCTCTCATTCCCTCTGGCAGCCCTGCCCTGCAGCAGCTTCCTCGATGGTACCCAGACGGCGCACAGAGCGGGCTCACAGGGCCAGGGTCTGAATTGCTCCTTTATTGGTGCCAACTTCAGCCCCCCCGCCCCCCTCCCCTGTCCAGGCTCCCCTTGGTAGGTTCCTTCTTCCTCAGGGCCTCATCTGGGTCCCCTCAGCAGCAGGGATGGCCGGCTCTGACACCATGACCCCAGCCCTCAGTCCAAGAGGCATCTGGGGAGACCAGGCCCGATCCTCGGGGGGCCTCAGGGGCATCCTGCAGAGACAGCCAGGTTAGGGGTTGGGGTCTTGGTGCTGGAGACCGCTGCCCACCTGGCGAAACTGGGCCTTCTCTGGTCACCAGCGCAGTTTCACCAGGACACTTTCACCCTCCCTGACCCCTGGGCCATTGCTGTGTCCAGTTGTGCCCGGGACCTGGGGAGCCCCAGGGAGGGAGGCTATGGGGCAGGGGATGGGGGATGGGGGGATGGGGCTGGTGCTCACCAGGCCTGCAGGGTGGGCGCGTCCGACCACAGCAGGCAGAGGTGGCCCTCCGCAGAGTTGGTCCAGGCTGTGCTGTTCTCTGTGTCCTGCTCGCTGCTCCCCACCCCAAGTCAGAATTAGTCTGGAGTTGGGGAGCCCCCTGGCAGGTACCCCCCCATCCCGCCGCCCCTCACCTGCGCTTCCCCACCAGGCCCTGTAGCAGCCGCTGCAGCCACGCGCTCTCCCGCAGGCGGCTGAGCTCGCTGGTGAAAGTCCCGTCCGAGTGTCGCGGGGCCCTGCGGAGGGGGCCGCGGGGGGTCAGGGCCGGGGCGGGGTGGGGTCGGGCGGGCGCGGGCCCCGGGGCCGCGGGCTCAACTGGGGGGCGCGGGGCGCGCGGCACAGCCCCGGAGCAGCGGCGGCGGCGGCAGCCCGCGGGCTCACCGGGGGGGCGCGGGGCGCGCGGCACAGCCCCGGAGCAGCGGCGGCGGCGGCAGCAGCAGTAGCAGCAGCAGGGTCCGAGTGGCCATGGTGGGCGCCGGGCGGGGGCTGAGCGGCCGTCGGGCCGCGGCCCCTTTATAGCGGCGCCCGGGAGCGGGAGCGGGGCGGGCGGGGGTCAGCGCCGCCCCGGCTCCGCGCAGCCCGAGCCGCGCCCCATCGATCGCGCGGGAAGGTCAGGGCCGCCCCCGCAGCTGTCGCGCCGGCCGCCCGCCCGCCCCCACCGCCGCGGCGGCGCCCCTCGGCGGGCGCGCTGGGGTCGGGCGCCCGGGGACAAGGGGACCCTCGCGGGGGCGGCGGGCGGGACCTGCGGGGGGTCGGCCCGTGCAGTGACCTTTCCCAGTCGCGGGGCGCGGGGCGGCGGGGGAGCGGCGGGCAGGGGGGGCGGGGGCGGGGCGGGGGAGGGGGCTGATGCCGCGCAAGACCCGGGCCTGGGGCGCCTTGGCCTTTGGGTGCATTTTTGGAGGGGGGAGACCTGAGCCTGCTTCGGGCCTTTTACAACCAGCACCCATGAAATCCTTACACGTAAATTACAGATCGCGTAAGGGGACTTCTTATAAACCAGTAGTTCTTGTGTTAAACTTTGTATGCATTTTAAAGATAATTAGTAGACTTTCTTTAGAGCAGTTTTAGGGTTAGGGAAGAATGGAGCTGAGAGTACAGGAGCTCGCACACGCACGTGCCCAGCCTCCCTAGCACCAGGCGTTAGTTTGGGACATTCGTTACAACTGATGGACCAGTACTGGACATTATTATTAACTAAACCCATGATGTACAGTACGGCTCACCTTGGTGGTGTACATTCTGTGGGTTTTGACAAATGTACAATGACACGAGTCTGCTATTGTAGACAGTACCACCCAGGGCCCTGCCCTAGAACTCCCCTGCTCGCCACCTGTTCACCCTCCTCCATCAACCCCTGATCTTTTCACTGTCTCCACAGTTTTTACCTTTTCCAGAATGTCATAGGGTTGGAAGCATACAGTCTGTGGCCTTTTCTTATTGGCTCCTTTCACTTAGTTATATGCATTTAAGGTTCCTCCATGGCTTGTCATGGCCTGATAGCTCATTCCTTTTTAGTGCTGAATAATATTTCATTGTCCAATGGACCACAGTTTATTTATCCACTCACCTATTAAAGGACATCTTTGTTGCTTCCAAGTTTTGACAATTATGAATAAAGCTGCTGTAAACATCTGTGTGCAGGTTTCTGTGTGGACATAAGTTTTCAGCTCCTTTGGGTAAACACCAAGGACCATGATTGCTGGATCCCATGGTAAGGTTATGGTTTGCTTTATAGGAAAGCAGCAGACTGTCTTCCAAAGTGGCTGCACCGTTTTGCATTCACACCAGGGCGTGTGTAGCGGTATCTCGTTGTTTTCTGTACATGTATTTGCAACAGCTGCTGCGGCCTCCTCTTGCACAAACTTGGCAAATTAAAACCCCTAAACTTTAACAACATTGACCAATTAATGACGTTCATGAGAACACTCAAAATTGTGAGTAGTTGTTTAACCAGTCAGATGTCTTAGCGCCTCAAACACTTAAGTGACCAGGCAGATCTTCATAGGAAAGATCTATTAAAAATTTTTTTTTTGCATGCAGTAAAATTGACTTCTAAAAAATTAACATACTGTAAAAAATGAATTTCAACACGTGTATGGATCCGTGTAGCCACCACCATAATCAGGATACAGAGCAAGTCCATCACCCCAAAGAACCCCCTCCTGCTGCCCTTTGTGGTCACATCCACTGCCCTGAGCGACTTCAGTCACACCTGCTCGAGGTCCCCAGCAGTCACTAGCATAGAAGGACAGACCCGGATGGAACTGAGGCAAGGATAGGCGGGCTGTGTCCTGCATGTGCACGGCACAGAGGATCTTGTAACTAGCTGCCTCCATCACGTCTGAATGGCTGTCGCCAGTTGTCTCTGCCGCTCCGAATCTCTCCAGAGACGGTCCTGGCCTGTGTCCTCCACACCCACGTGTGGCTGCCTCAGCGTTTCATGCTGAAATGCGACAGGTAACGAGGACCGGACCCTGATGGGAACTGGAGCAGGAAT